GCAAAACTCATCAAAATACCCAATATCGGGAGGTACCGTTATATGGAGGCTATACCAAAACGTGGACCTACATGGCCCATTTTCAATACCAAAAGTCCTGCAGAGTATATATTTGAGTAATATTTTATCAATCTACTTCAATTCGTTCGGAAGCTAGAGTGATTTCCACAGACGGACGGACATCGCTATATCGACATAGAATTTTATGGTGATCAAGAATATATGTACTTTGTTGGGTCTAAAATGTATATTTCGAGGTGTTACAAACGGAATGACACCATACTATGGTGGAGGGTATAAAAATAACACTCAAGAAAAGAATTATGTAATTATTAAAAAATATGTGAAATATGTATTGTGGAATGCCGTTAAATCAATTAATAATTAATTAATATTTTAGGACAGGCACAGGAATTTGCACTAAAAACAATTATCATAGATTTTATGGAGAACCATCATGACCTAGCTAGGGCTATGTCAAAGGTGATTGTGTGGTTGCCGAAACAAGTTCGTAACAACTTACCGAAAAAAAACCCTAGGGACCACCCACCCATAAGATTGCAATGAGTGGAAAAAAACATGGTTAGACTGGACAGTATACATTAAAACAAGTAAAAAAACATTAAGCTCGGCCAGGCCAAACTTTTAATACCCTCCACCTTAGGGTAAAAGAAACATTAGAAGAAATGTGGCAAAAACCATTAAAATGCCGAATATCGGGAGGTACCGTTATATGGGCACTATACCAACGCATGGACCTATAATTACAATGTTTCGCCACACGAACTAGGACCCATTATGACCCACAAATACCAATTTTTAGACAAATCAGTGAAAAAATGTGGCAAAAACCATCAAAATACCGAATATCGGGAGGTACCGTTATATGGGGGCTATATCAAATCATGGACCCATGCATTGCAATGTTTCGCCACCGAAGCTGGAACCCATTATGACCAACAAATACAAATTTTCAGACAAATCCGTGAAAAAATGTGGCAAAAATCATCAAATTACCGAATATCGGGAGGTACCTTTATATGCGGGCTATACCACAACGTGGACCTATACATGCAATGTTTTGCCACACGCTCAGGGACCCATTATGACCTACAAATACCAATTTTCAGACAAATCCGTGAAAAAATGTGGCATAAATCATCAAAATAATATCGGGAGGTACCGTTATATGGGGAATATACCAGAACGTGGACCGATATATTTCATTTTCAATACCAACCATCCTAGACATAATTCAAATAGCTCTGCTAAATTTTGGCGCTCTACGTCAAATAATGTGGGCTGTATCGTGATTTCAACAGACAGGCAGACGGACAGACAGACAGACGGACAGACAGACAGACGGACAGACAGACAGACGGACATTGTTAAATCGACTTAGAATTTTATGCTGATTATGAATATATATACTTTATGTGGTCTAAGACGAATATTTAAGGATGTTACAAACGGAATGACAAAGTTAATATACCCTCCTTTCCAAGGTGGAGGGTATAAAAATGGTGTCACAATAAAAAGGAAAATGCAAAACTGATGGTGTTTTTTTTGCACAAAAAACTCTTTCAAACAGAATATGTACACTTCTACAATATTTTTAAATCATGTGTTCTGCTTTGATTCATCGTTTATTCATTCTTTCATTCCCCTAATGTTACCATAGTGAATATAAAATGTTGCCATATTTACACTGAATTTATAGTTTACCCAATCGTACGAAATCTGAAGAAGCTAAGACAAAAACGAACGATTTTTAATTGCGGAATTCAAACCATTTCGATACGATTTTGTGACATGCTACATGACATTCGGTCTATCCAGGTATTTGTGAACATAAATCTTTATATTATTGCTATAGGTCCCATATATATGTTTTTGATATAATTTGAAATACCAGAAACAGAAAATATTGATTCAGCCTGTTAAAAAAACCGAGTTTTATAACTGTTAATACATAATACGCCTTCTTTTTAATGTGGACAGTCGATTGATTTTGAGCGGAAATGCGGGGTGATAAAATGTTCTCGTTAATATCATATACAGTTGATAAAGAAGTAGATTTTAAATCCATGAAATTGAACCACGAAAATAAGCTTTTGAGATAGCATTGCAATAAATCTGACTGTTTATAGGACTTGTGATTCAGAAATATCTTTACATCATCTGCATACATCAGGAACTTTAAATAGTTTATTGTAGTAGGCAAATCGTTCACAAGCAAGAGAAAAAGTATCGGTCTAAGATGACTTCCTTGTGGAACCCCCGATAATATTGTAAAAAAGTAGAATGAAAATCCTTAAATAATGCTATACGTGTTCTAGTGAATAGGATGTAACCCACGACAAAAAATATTACTGACGCCCATATAGTTTAGTTTATGTAATTAAATTGGGCGATGGAACGTTTTACTGAAATCTGATTTGTGAAAGGACGAAAACCATGTTAATGAGGACATAAAACGGGCTCGACTTTATGTGAAAATAATTCAGTTATAAATTTTCAAATGGCTTCCGATTTGCCCTTAATTTTGCAACACATCTTTAATTTGATGCATCATATAAACTACGGATTTATGTGATAGAACTAAAACAGAGTTGTACACAGAGTGAGATGACAAAATGCAACCAGCTTCGGACTGCTGTCATTTCTAAGCCACTCGTCCGACAACTGTCAAAATTATTCAAGTGACAGCTTGTTATATTGTTTACAAGCGTACAAAAGCATTTTGGGGAGAATTTTCCAGAAAAATTGAAATATTCGTGTAACGAATTCAAGCGTGATAATGTGATTTCATTATATTTCGCTGGAAAACCACAAGTGGCTATCGTTAGAGCACTCCACCATTTAAATATGAATAAATCTTTTGTGGCTCGTACCATAGCTCGTTACCGTGATACTGGTAGCGTAGCCCGACATCAGGGAAATGGAGGGAAGAAAACAGCAACATAAGCAGAAATGGTTCGAAAAGTAAAAAAAGCGACTTGATCGAAACCTGCTCGCACTGGCCGAAAAATGGCTCTTGAGCTGAACATATCTCAATATTCCATTCGGCAAATATTTAAAAATGAGCTCGGGGTAAAACCATTAAAATTCCAAAAAGTGCAGGAACCGCAAAATAAAGAAAATAGACCCAAAAGAGCTAAAGAGTTGCTTCGCTTGGTCGAAATTGGTAAACTCCCGAATCTGGTTTTCTCCGATGAGAAAACATTCGTTGTATTAAAGCCTTGGGCACGCAATCATTTTGGTCGCAGACCTTGGACATTCCAACAGGACTCAGTACCATCGCACTCAGTACGCGCCACCCAGCGCACAATGGCCACCAAAACTCTTCAGATACCAATCCGTTGGACTATTGTGTCTAGAGTATTTTAAAAGGAAGGTTGGCACTAAAAAATTCCAAAGTGTTGATCACCTCGAGCAAGCGCTTTGCCGGGAATGGACCAAAATACCGCAGAGCTACTTTCGGGCAGCGTGTGACGGTTTCATTGGCCGTTTGGAGGCCATAATTCGAGCCAAAGTTGACAAATTCGAACAAATCTCAACTTATTTTAAAATTTGAGGCTATTTCCGACATTATTTGCTTTCAATCAATAAAATTTAAAAAAAAAAATGTAAAAAGTTTGGCATTTGACTTTGTTGCTTTTTTATCTCACCCTGTATATGTCTCTTACTCAAATGGCGAGGTATTCTTCGAGGGAATATGAAGAGGTTCATGGTCCTTATTTCTTTGGGGTCATACCAATATTGAACATACCAACAGCAGGTCACCAATGAAAAAGTCATTTAAAGCTTTAGACAGTACATCAAAGTCTTCAGCGTGGAACAATTGATTAAAGAGCCAATGATCACCCCAGGAAGTGCAAGACAGCAAGAGAGTTCCAGCATGCGTAGCATATTTTTGGGATCTGCCAAAACTTTATTATGATCAATTATAATTGTTCATCAATGCATGGCAACTAATAAGCGGCAACTAATAAATTGGGTGCGAAATAGTCTTTCACTTCGAACATTTGCTGCAGTCATAGCACAACGAGCGTCTCTTTGCCGATATTCACTTATGTTGTTTCGCCAAAAATCACACAATCGATCTCCAGGTCCATCTGTTATTATTTTAGCTTTCCCAAATTGAATGTTGGAAAATTTTCTTAGAATCATTTTTGAGGGCCATGGTCTGATATTTTAAGTTTCAAAGTGTTTTTCGCTAAAATGATTCAACAATGGTGGCACTTGTTCCAATTTCCTTCTTATTTTCAACGTTTAAAGATATCTTCTTGAAAGACATGTTATAAATCACTTTTTTACTTCAATTTTAAAAATTTTACATTTATGCAACGATTTTTTTAAAAAAATTTCAAAAATGTAAAATGAATGACCCCTAACAAATGCAAATTCATCAGCATTAGGTAGTCAATTGAAAACACACCTTAACCGTACACCTTCAAGTTAATGTAGACGGGTAGCTACAAAAAAGAAGACGTAGAACTATTCAGCTATTATCGGAAAAATTATTATTGGAAAGAAAAACAATCAGATGGACATTTCCTATGATTTGCTTGCAAAAAAATTAGTCTAATGAAAATATTTAATTCATCGTGAGAGTATTTTATATTTTTAAAATACTAACGTTAAAAAATGCGCTGAAAAAGCTTTCATGACTTGTGACCAATGTCATTACAAAGAATTGGTGATAAATATCATGAAGATCTGGTGATAAATGACGTGACATCATGAGTCAAAAGAGTAAAAACAGTCGGCGATATTACAGCAAATCACTGCATTATGATTCAACTCATGATTAATCATCGAACATTTTGTGATTATAGAATTACCTTACGGCACTAAACAGCAACAGACTAGGAATGGTTATTAGAAGACTGAAGGAGGGTGGAAAAATATGAATATTTTGATCAGTAATGTCGGTCATCTTGTATGAGTTTGATGGGTATTTATAGACGTCATGTGTACACGTGTGTATGTCTTACCATATCCGGATCGTTCCAATGTCCTGGGCCAGCAAATTGTGCAATATGATCCTGGTTATCTCCATAATAATCGATTATACTCTCTACAGATGCCCACGAATCTTGAACATCATCAAAATTTCTCCACATATTACAATGTTCCATTACCTTGCTAAAGTTGGGCTGAATACCAGCGTATATTTGATAAACGGGCCAACTACATGAAAAAACCATTGGTCTCCCTGTATTATTCAATACTGTCTGAAAATCGCTATATCCTTTGTCCATATCTTCTGGAAATGCGTAACATCCATCGAGCTTAACATAATCAACGCCCCATTCCGCAAACTGATTGGCGTCTGATATTTGGTGTCCTATTATACCTGGATACCCGGCGCATGTGTAATTTCCAAAATCTTCATATATGCCAAATTTAAGACCCCTGGAATGAACCTAAAAGTAATAAAAAGTTTCAATTAAAATAAAATTTTAAATTTGCTCTAATTATATAGAGTGCAGTGCTGTAAATGGAAATATATCTACATTATTCAATAAGGGAAGGCAAAAGTCGGATATCTAACAGATGATATGTCCATCACAATAGTAATTTTTTATACCCACCACCTAGAAAAGGAGGGCATATTGGGTATATAATCATAATCAGCATAACATCCTAAGTCGATTTAACGATGTGCGTCAAAAAATTGGTATTTGTAGATCATAATGGGTTCTAGCACCGGTGGCTAAAAATTCTGTGTATAGGTCCACGTTTTTGTATAGCCCCATGTCTAAAAATTGGTATTTGTAGGTCATGATGGGTTCTAGCTCCTGTGGCGGAACATAGTGTGCATAGGTCTACGTTTTCGTATAGCCTTCACATACCGGTACTTCCCGATATTCGGTATTTTTATTATTTTTGCCACGTTTTTCCATGATTTTGTCTAAAAATTGGTATTCATAGTTTATAATAGGTTCTAGCTCCGGCGGCAGAACATTGGAAATTTAGGTCCACGTTTTCGTATAGGGCACATATAATGATACCCACTGATATTCGGTATTTTTATAATCCTAGTCATATTTAATCCTAGTCAAATTTGAAACAACTTTCAAATAGAGGTTCCCGTTTTGGTATTTTTTTTTTTTTTTTTTTGAAAAGTGTAACAGCATTATCCAATCGTTTTTACTTGTTTGTAGTTTAAAATGGAACAGATACTTTTATATAAAAATTTCAGATACTTTTACTCAAAACTAAAAAAAAACTAATTAAAATCTGAGAAATTTCGGTCAGAATTCAAAAAACATTACATTATATAAAATTCATATGTCAATTCATATCAAAAGCTATAAAAAAAGCAGCTAAGTTCGACCTGGCCGAACTTTTAATACCCCACACCATTTGGAAGGAACTTGAAAATTTTCAAAAAGAGAACTGAGCCGAAAAATATGGCCTAAATGAAAGCCGTTATATAAGATCTGTATGAAGACGTGGACGTGCAAAAATAATTTTCCTCAATAGACTGTCATTCCGATTGTGGACTCCTAATACGAAATTTGAAACAATTCCGGTGAATAAAGTCGGTAATATCATAAAAATACCGAATAAAGGGAGGAACCGTTATGTGTGGGCAAAGACGTGGACCTGGATAAACAATTTTCTGCCATAGGTTGTAGTACCCATTGTGAACTTCAAGTACGAAATTTAAAACAATTTCGGTGAATAATGTCGCTTATATCCTATACGAAAACGTGGACCGATATGACCCATTTACGACCTTAAACTGCCTACAAACGTATGATAAATTTATATCGTCATTATAACAGACACGCAGACAGCGGGAAATCGCTAAATTGATTTAAACTTTTAAGCTGATCCAGAATATGAACACTTTGAAGTGTCTAATATAAGTATTTCCAGAAATTCTAAACGCTAATATACCCTCAATAAAATGGTGAAGGGTATAAAAACAATATCCTTCTCGAAAAAGGCCATTCCGAACTGCATATTCTGCAAACCCCTCCTCTCTGTTGTGGTAAGCGTAGTGTTGTTGCAAAATAGTCAGACTCAATGCTTTTTTTATAAAAATATTTCTCAACTAATAAACAATCGATGTTTTTATAAAAACAATAATGGGATTAAGCCTGACTATTTAATTTATTATAATAACAAATTTTCCCTTTATGATGTCGAAAAAAAAAATTGAAGAAAATAATAGAATCTTGCGTGTTCTGGAACAGAGCACTCTCCTCAACACATAAGCCAACATAAGTTTACAAAGTTCTTTAAACCGCTTATTATCCACGCATTTCGTAAAGATGTCTGCCAACTGATCACATGTTCCGATAGGTACTATATTGATAATTCCTTTATCCGTATGATGCTTGATATCAGTTTCGACATTTGATGCCATGAAAATACCTGCCCTGTCTATATCTATAAAAGCGAAATGTTTGTACGTTTGATTGTTTGTTTGTAATTTATGGACACAAAAACTGCTAAACTTATTTTCCTGAAAATTACCATATATACTACAGCATCGCCTGAAAATTTTTTGAAATTAAACATGGAACTAGAGATATAGCGTCAGTATCGGAGGTACCTCCAGAAGATTTAGTTTTGGAATGCACATATCTATTGGTTTGAAATCAGTCCAATAAATTTGTAAAATTATATTGAAATCGGTTCAGCCGATCTCACACATTTGATTGTACGAGTATGTTTGCCTAATTCCAATGAAATTTGGAACAAGTGAAGGAATTTGGTACAAAAATAAGTTTGCTAAATTATATTGAAATCGGTTCAGATTTGGATATAGCTCCCATATATACTTTCGACAGATTTAGTTAATTTGATGCACCAAACACAATTCGATTCCAATTATTCCGATTCCGTATACAGTTTCGGTCGATTTCAAATATTTGATGCACAAAACACGATAAGTATGTCGTACTTTCTACTTGAAGAGGATTCGGAACATCTAAAAACTTACTTAAAACACTTACTGACATTCGATCAACTTCATCACTAGCTACATCTGGAAATCCTATTATGGGAGGCTCATCATTTTTCATAATTCAATTTAGATTTTATAGTTCTTATATCTTAAAACACTTTTGGCTCCTTGCGAATGATGTTCTGATTTTTGTTGGAAATGTCCCAGGTAGCCCACATGATAGCATATGTCTAGCCTTACGCAAAGCTACGTCTATGCATCATACCTCCGATCTCTATAAGGCTTATAGCATAGGTTTTTAACTTTTTTAGCATGTAGCTTCAAATTTTATACATTGACGTTTAAAGGGGTTACAATTCTGCATAGAAATTTTGTCCAATACTAGCTTCTTGCTATAGCATTATTTTTGATGAAGTCTTTTCAATCTTCACTCCCAAAAAGTATTTCAACTCCCCAAAATCTTACTATTTAAATTTGCCTAACTTTTGTTTTAAATTTTTTAATGAATATTATATTACTGTTAGCAATAAGCAGATAGTCTACATAAAGTATGATATAGACTACATCATCACTTCATAAGTTTGGTGAATAAACAATTGTCATGACCTGATCTGTTAAATCCCAAAGCGATGAGATGCATATTAAGGGTCTCGTTTTAACACTTTGGCACTTGCTTTATCCCATAAGTAGATTTTAAAAGACGACATGCGATTCCCCTGCTTGCGAAAACGCCATTAGGAATGTGTATAAAAATGTCCTCTTTCAGCTCGCCATCAAGGATGCAGTTTTTAAATTCATTATATTGCATAGCAACAAATTTTATAAGCTGCAATGGCTAACACAAAGGGCGCAGTTGAAAATTTAGCAACGGGTGCACAAACTTCCTTATATTCCTCTCCTTTTCTTTGCTGAAAACCTTCTACAACAATCAATGCCACTGATTTCAGTTCTCCGTTTGTTGCTTAATGTTCATCAGATCTATTAATGTTCATCAGATCTATTAATGTTCATCAGATCTAACGATATCAAAAACATTTTCTGGAACGCCTAAGAGGGATTTATCTTCTATATGTGCAGAAAACCCCAACTTGAATCCCATGAATAAGTTGGGAATATTCCTGGTTCGTTTACTTCTTCAAATTCATTGGGACTGCAATCAGTAAAGTGGATTATAAAGAGGAATTATATTCATATTTCATATGGTAATAATCCGTCTAATGAGAACTAAAAAAGCAATGATAAAAATTCCTCTATCACCTCTAATATAATCACCTCTATATAATATCACCTTACGATCTTAAGTACATAATTTGTTAATTCAAAATATCGGGTACCTCACTACAGAAAATTGTTGTAAGAATCCAAAATAGAGAATCTGATCCCCATGTTTACTATGTATTATTGGAGTCGAATATAATTAGGTTTTCGGGTATGAGCGCATATATACTTAAGAGGGGTCTATATATATATATATATATATATATATATATATATATATATATATATATATATATATATATATATATATATATATATATATATATATATATATATATTTACAAAAATTAAATGCGCATAGCACCCATACCACTATGTGGTGTAGGGTATAAACATCAAGTTCGGCCAGGTCGAACTTTAAATAACCTCAAACATTAGCCAAAGAAAACATTTTTATATAAAAACTAAAACACTTTAAACTAACAATATCAGTGAGGTCGGCTGGATAATGCAATAAAAGCTTTCAAAAAGCAAGAAAGTGGGTTAATCCATTATAAACTGTGGCTTTAATCTCAAAATTCTGAACATCCGAAGGTACCGTTATATGTGCGTTATAGGAATACGTATTCCACTAGAAGTACCAATTATTCGACAAATCCTGTTATGTGCATATACTGTTATATGGAGGATGTAGTAAAACATGAACCTATACAGCCAATGTTTTGCTATCAGAGGTACCTTAGTATCAAATTTTGCAAAAATTCCATAAAAATTCCACTAAAATACGGAATATCGAAAGGTTCTATGGAGCTATACCAAAACGTGGACTGCTATATCTCATTTTCAACACCAACCTTTCTAGACGCAATACTAACTGCTATGTCAAATTTAAAAGTTCTACGTTAAATAATGTTGGGCTGCATCGTGATTTCAACAGACAGACGGACATGGTTAAATCATTCTAGCACTATATACTGGTCATGAATATAAATATTTTAAGGGACTTACGACGAATATTTAGAGGCGTTACAAGCGGAATAACAGATTTAATACACGGTGGAGGGTATAATTAATTAGAAAAATGAATGTTTTCAAATACATTCATGAATGTCCTGTAATTTTGTCAGTTTGAAGGAATATTTCCATTGAAAAGAAATCGGTAGAAGCTAGTTGGAAGACAATTTTACTCAGAAAGATATATAAAATATTTAAGTATATATTACAATGATACCATCTTTGAAACAGAAGTAGATTTACATATTTGATGCACCCAATGCGATATAT